TGTTCCAAGTTCAGTTCTTGACATCCCCACATAAAAGATCTCAGTCTCAAAACCCTGAGACTAGTTTACACAACTTATAGATCCCTTATCGATGATGCTTTGTACCCTAAAATCTTAAATCTGGTGCAGCAGTGGTTGGTAGACAGTGTAGCAGCTTCAGAAATTGCATGCTGAAAAGAGGCCGCTCCTAACAACAACGAGCCACTGCTACCCAGTGGGACTTTCTGGAAGTGTTTCCGGAGGTACAGACCATTTACTGCAACACAGTGCCTCAAATACCTGGCCCACAGATTCGATCCTGTAGCATGCTATGCTATGTACGGTGCTTAAAAGGGTTGGTTGGGGCTCCACAATCCTCACAATTTGTTGTTGTTGGGAGCGGTGATTGTGAGGATATAATGGAGAGAAGAACCTTGCATTCCCCGTCTCTTATCTAACAAACATGTTTTATATATTTTATGTAAACATGGTTACATATTTTATGTAAAGTTTACAGGTAGGCCTGATCTCAGGTGGGTACCAATAAATGTATACTGGTTCCGTATTCATTCAATTGCCAGGGCTCTCCCCATCCCCAAATCCTCAGAATTTTACTTTATCTGAACTCTTGGCAAATACATTGTTGTTGTTAGGTGCCATGAAGTAGTCTCCGATTTCTAGCAACCCTATGGATAAGTACCTTCCAAAATCCCCCGTCCTTCACAGCCCTGCTCAGCTATGAAGTCAGGGCTGTGGCTTCTTTATGGAACTGATCAATCTCATATTCGGTCTTCTTCTTTTCTTCTCCCTTTGAATGTTGCTAGCATTATTGTCATCTCCAGCAAATACATTAGAGATCTCTAAACCTCTAATTGCCAGAATTCTGTAAGTGGAGATATTTTGGGCTCCAGCTCCCACTACCCCATCCAGCATGGCCATATGGATTGGGGATAAGGGAAATTGTACTCCAACATACATGGAGGGTACTGGGTTGGGGAAGACAGTGTGGAAGTGAGACCTGTCCATAGCAATCAGTAGAAAAATCCAAGATCTTCCTCTGTGGAATCTGTGACTGGACAGCAGGTATTCTTGTAAAAGATAGGAGAGGATAACCACAAAGAAAGGGATCCGGCTGTTTATAACCAGGTCCAGCTGTTTCTTCACTTTGTATGAAACATTTAAGGCAGAATCCTATATACATTTAGACAGGAAAAAAAGGTCTACAGCTCATGGCATGCCAATGAGCATAGCTGGCTGGTCCATGCTGGGAACTGTAGGCCTTTTCCCCCCTTGTCTAAATATACAGAGAATTGTGCCCTAAACATTTTATTAGCATTTTTGAGAACTTACAAGCACTAACCATCTGTATGCAAGTAAATGGGTAGCACAACTGAGATAACAGTTGTAAGCCGCCCCGAGGCTTCGGCGAATGGGGCAGCATAAAAATGTTTTAATAAATAAATAAAAATAAATAACACAACTTCTGTATGCAGCTGAGTGCTGGCATGGGAGGAGATTAGAGTCTTAAATTCACCTCTGACCTGCATAACAATTATCTGTAATGCAGGGCTGATGTAAGCCACTCAGCCACAGTCCTATCCCTAACCTGCAATAATTATTTAATATCAATGGGTGATGATGATGGGCCACATTTGAAGGATATTGTATGTCCTTCTCTCAACCCGCAGTATGTAAAATGGCAAGTAACAGCACCCAACAATATTGCAGGATTGTTGTAGTTACTCTCTCAACCTGGCTTCCCCACCACAACCTACTGCTGAACTACCTTGCAAGAAATCATTCAGCTCAAACAGCAATATTTGGGCAGAATTATATTACTTATAATAAGCAATATAACAGAGTTGGAAATCAAAACTGAGTCCCCTGGCATACAGTAAGTGGTTTGCTGCTCTGAAAGAATGGAAGATGAGGTCACTCTTTGAGAGTAAGGTGCACGGAAGTTAATTGGGTGTACACCTCTGGATAAGCATTGTTATGCAGGCAAGCACTACTATGCTGCACAAATGCAGCACCTCTCTACTAATAACTAGGAAGGGGCCCATAGGGCTATCTAAGTCTAACCTGCTGCTCAGTGGAGGACTCCAAGTTAAAGCATCCCTGATAAATGGCTGTCCGACTGCTTCCCGAATGCCTCCAGTATAGGAGAACCCACAACCTTCCTAAATAATGGTTCCATTTCGGCTGTCCAGCCAGAATCTGGCTTCCTGTAACTTAAGCCCATTATTTTGTGTCCTGCAATCTGGGATGACTGGGAAGAGATCCTGGCCCTCCTCTGTGTAACAGGAAGTACTTGAAAAGTGCCCTCATTTCTCTCCTCAGTCTTCTCCTCTTGAGGCTAAACTTGCCCAGTACTTTCCACTGATCCTTACTGAGCCTTGTTACCAGTTCCCGGATCATCTTTTTTGCCCTCTTCTGAACCCCTTTCAGCTCGTCTGCATCTTTCTTAAACTGTGGTTCGCAGAACTGGACGTAATACTCAAGAATGTGCCTAACTAGTGCAGAAGGAGCAGTATCTCACGTGTTTTGCAAGCTGTACCTCTAGTAATGCAACCCGAAGTAACTTTTCTTTTTTTGCAGACTCGTCTCATTGTTCACCGGATGCGTGTAAAATTATGGAGAGTATATACAAGTGTATAGATGCGTGTATATAGGTGCAGTGTGTGTAGGAAGAATCGTACACCGTGCGATTGACAATTCTTCTTACCCTCCCCCCAATCTTATGTACTGTATACAAACCCGAAACACTCGCTGCCACCCCATGCAGAATCTGATGAAGCCACGGGAACTTGGCCCAGAATCCACTCGTTAGTCTTCGAGGTGCCACGAGACGCTGCCGCGGCGGTCCAACGCGGCTCCCCCCGGGCGTGGGTCAACGACGGCGCTCTTCCACGCTCCTCCCAGGGAGGCTCCAACTCTGCCAGTCGCTGCGCAGCGATGTTCTTCCTTGTGCAGCGTATTGCAGGAAAGGGAGGGCGGGCTGCGGAGCAATCATTGGCTCCCGCCTTCGCTTTCCGAGGACGCGACTGGCTAGGGAGCTTTCGTTCGGCGCACGGAGAATGGGCAGGGCGAACGCCAACGTCATAACCCCCGCCCACCGACGCGACAACTATTTATAGCAGCGCGCGAAAGGGGTCCTTGTTCAAGCGAGTGCGCGGGTTCGGCGTTGGCTGGGAGGGCCTTGCAGTGCAGCACGCGGCCGGCCTCTGCGGCAGGTATTGCTCCGAGGTGGAGTTTGCCGCGCTCAAATGGCGTCCGGGGCGCGTCCCGAGGGGGCTGGGAGCGGTCTGTCGGGGGAAGCGGGGCGGTTAGTGGTTTTCCAGGCGGGAGAGAGCCCCGTCCACCCTTTCACAAGGCCCGGGGGGGAGGGGGTGGTGGTACAGCGGATTTACGGGTCTGCGTCACTTGCTCTCCCCGACTCGGTGATTTGCCTGAATACGTGGCGGGGCTCACGTTGGTTCGAAAAGATACGGAGAGTACCCGTATCTCCGCGGCCGTGTGCGATAGAGCGCGCGAGGACGCCATCTCGATGATGTGACTGCCCCGGCGAGCCGGTGGGATGGTGTACGGGTTCCTTCTGCTGTTTGGAAGGCCTTAATACTCTACTTACTAAAATGCTAGTTGATAACTTGCATACTTAATCCTTGGGTTTGCCTGTTAAAACTGTTCTAGGGTTGAGTTCCAGTGTAAAAGAATCTGAATTGATCTCTTTCTGGTATCTCAGGCGCCAAAAATCGTGTTTCGACCATGATTTTTTTTTTTAACTGCTTGTTTCTCCAGACTTTTTCCAGCTGGAGAAATGCTTGTTGGGTTTTTAATGATGTACGGATTTGTAATGCGCTGTGGATTGCTTTGGAATGTTTTTAAGGAACAGCTATATACATTGTCTTAACATGAGCTAAGTGGGACTTAGCTTTCAGAAGATATGTGTAGGAATGCAGTGTAAGTCAATGCTTGGAAAAGTGGCTGTGTCTAGCAGTGTTCAGCCATTTTACAAGCCCTCAATTTTGTTTGCAGTTGCAGGCTTAAGTCTGAGTGAAACATGTAGTTACAGGTGCTGAACTGTTTGTGGACTGTTCTCAGCTATTTGAAACCAACTAAAAGAATAATGGTATTGATGCAAGATGGACTGTGACTTTAGTTTACCCTTTTGAAAGCACATTTTCTTACTTTTGGAGTAGCACTTATATAGGCATCCATATCTCTATTCTAAAGAATACTATCCTTAGAAACAAACTTGGATATGATGCCTTATCTAGACCAGTGAAAGCCAGTCCCTCTATTTTTGGAGGAATGGGAAGGATCAGACTCTTTATTGTATCAGTATAATTTGCCACACACACTGACAGCAAGATTAATGTTTAGGCAGCATAACTAAATTGATCCTAATTAGTTTTAAATAATGAAATCCAAACGCTTCGGGTTTTATCAAATGTTATTTGTAAGAATGAAAGCAATGCAAAGGTGCAAGTCTTAAGGAACTGTCAAGAAAACAAAGTTTAATACTGCTTTGGTTAAATTTGAGCTGATGTTATGGTGCATTGCTGCCAGATCAGAGTTGTTGGTTCTTCATCCTGCTGCAGAGAAAGGAGACATTCAAAGTGCTTATTCAGGAGCACTTACTGAAGATTAACTACTTCATGCTATACTTTAACCACACTCTACTACAGGGGTAGGCAGTCTTTAGTTCTGCAGATCCTTTAGGCTACGGCTTCTACCACTTAGCTAATGGCTAGTAGATGGGGGTTCTGGAAGTAGAACTAGCGTATCTGGTGGGAAGTGAGTTGGTTTCCCCCTATTTTACTTTATTTTGAGGGTGATAAAAGGATAATTGTGCTCTCATTCCTGCTGCATACATAAAGCATGGCTGGAGGGCCTGGATAACCATATCTGCAAGCTCTTCATGATGCATGGCTTTCAAGCTCCTTTTCTCTAAAACTCAAGAGTTTCCATCCTCACAGTGAAAACCTGTTGCCTGGGAGGTGGGAGGGAAGCATGGAGGTCCACTGTATGAGCTAAAATGAATATACTGTCTGAGGCTACACTGTAACAATTTTTAATGCAGTGCTTGTACATGTTATGTCACTATAGGCTTTGACTTGAAAGCACCCTAATTACAGGATGAAGCCAAAAGTGGATGCTGAGAAGCAGCTTGCTACAAAGGTAACAAGCCTTAATTTGAGAAATGTTATGTCTCTGCCTTTGTTGAGATACAAGGTCAAACAACATTACAGTTATATACTTGTATCTGTGCTTGTCATGCTTAATCTTTATAGAGCTCAAAGGCATTCTGCTGACACTTGATGGTCACTTACAGAATTAGTAATTTGCATTTAACTGTTGGTGCCGGACTGCATGCTACACAGAAGATGTGAGATGCTTGTGCTCTCCTCTCTCTGCTTCAGTAGCAGCCTGTTAAAGATGATCTCAAATTTGGGAAGAAATTGGGCTAGAAATGTTTGGTCCTTTCCCCTGCACAAGTGCTGTAAGCAAATTGGTAACTAACCCTTGACTGCATATCGGAATTGTGCAAGTTATTTTTTTTAAAAAATGTGTGGGATCTTGTGTTAGATCTCTAATGTCAGTCTTCCCCAAACTTGTGCCTTCCAGACATGTTTGGACTGCCACATCCAGAATTTCCAGTCAATGGCCCTGCTGTATGGGAATTCTGGGAGTTCTGGTCCAAACATCTCTGAAGCCCACTAGGTTGGGGAAGGCTCTCATGTGATCTTGTGAATGGGAGTTGAAATAAAGTCTTGGAACTTCTTGCATTAGAAGTTATTTCAGTAACAGCATGATGGCAGAAGTAGCCTCCCAAGGAATTACTGCTTGTCCCTCTTTGCATTTAAGTTTGCACAGGGTACAACCCATAAAATTACTGGCATGCTCCAATCACACTAAACATTTATAGGATTTCACCTTAAGATCCCTAAAGTTAAAATTTGAACTTGGGTGAAAATAAGAACACTATATAATCAGTAGGCCTATTAAGAAATGGTTGCAAATAATCTTCCTCCAGTTTCAAAATCCTGTGGATAGTTAAAAATTGTTAGTTGAGGGGTGGGCGGTTTGTAGGCCAAAACATCTTGAGAGCCTCAAGTTGTCCACCCCTGCTTTAGCTGAATAGGCTAAAAACATGTTTTTAGATGTTCAGGCTTTCTACTGGCAGCATTCCTAACCTTTAGCCATGCTGGCAGGGGCACCTGGAGATCTACTCAGAGTTGTGATGGAATGCCAAGAGCGTCACATTTAGCTTGGGAATGAACATCTTCTGACCTGTTGCCTGCCACAGCTGTGGGGTGTCCACCTCTTTGCCTCTGCTTATGTCTTTGTGATCTTTGAAGGACCTGGGGCACCTTGTGACAAAGGGGGAGCACTGATGTGGTAGTGGGAGCAAACATGGGGAGCGATCCTTAAAGGTGAAACCTTAGATAACGGCAATAACAGTGGAACCCTAATATTTGAACACATTGAAGAAGCTTGTTTGTATATAATTTGTGTCCCTTAGAGATAAGGAAATTTGCTTCTTGAGCCAGTGGAGTTATTAACCTCATCTTTTAAGATGAAATTGTACTCCTTTATGGACAGTCTTTGTTTTTGTTTTATTCAAGACCCTACTTGCTATCTTATCTCTCCTGTCCCCTTTCCTTCCATTCTGACTATCTTCCAACTTCTACTCAGGCTGAATGTCCTGGGCATTTCCATCTACTATCTCCATCTTTGGTGCATATTCCAGCTTAAAGCTCTTGTAAAGGCAACCAGGGTAGTGAGAAGTGGGAAAGGGCAAGTCTGTTTGGTAGACCTTGATAGCCAAAACTTGTTCACCAGCATCCCTTCTTCTCTTGCACAAAAATGGGAAAGGATGGGTCTCATTTCTGTGCTGAGCTTTGGAGGTATGTAATGTATCTTTAAAGTTCTGCACAACAGTAGGGGTACAATTCTGCCTATGCCCCAGGTTTGAATTGCCCTTATGACACTTAACTGCAAGAATATTTTGTGTATCTTGGGCCCAGGATGACTTGTGCTAAGGTTAATGCTTCCCAGTTGAGGAGGCATATGCGCCATGTCCTCAATTTATGAACTCCTCTATTCATTCTGTTAGAATAAAGGATATTGAAGAGGGAATCTAAATTGTATAAGGGGTATGAGGTCAGCATCTTTTAGCTGTCATTTCTTGGCTCTGCTATTCCCTTCCCCCAAAGCATCCAAGTTCGCACAGTTTATATTGCTGTGTGTTTTTTAATCTTTAGTGGGAACTATTTTGTTAAGCATAAAATATTAAAGGCAATAGATTCATTTGAGCAAGTGATGCAAGAAATATTCGCTTGCTAAGTTCAGCCTAATTGAACAGCAGTAAATATAATCTGAAGTGCAATTTTGGTTCCCACAGTAGCTGTCATTTGTCCTCTAGTTCAACAGTAATTTAATTGGTGGCAGAAACTTTACCGTGGGAAAGGTGAGTTCTTGTCATGTGAAGTACAGTGTGAATCGCTAACTTTCTCACGGTAGTATGACATTATGTTCCTGTTATCCCTGTTTGATTATCTACCATTGTTTGCTATCTCATGGTGGTAGCATAACTTTTTTTTTTAAAAGAAACTAATGGAGGAAATATTTACATATGACGAGGGAGGTGATAGATGTTCCGTTACCCCCAAACAATACGCTGACTGGATCAGTATGTTATGTCCCAAGCAAAGCAGCTAGCCGCCTGCCATAAATCAAAGGAAATCTGTTCCCTGTGAAGTATTATACCTCTGTCTATTTAAATGTGTCCCTCTCCCTTGAGTGCTTTCAATAATCTTTACTTTGTGAAGCTTCATTAAACTTAGTCTCCATATTAGGCCAGTGAAATTATCAGTGTCAATGACACAAGATTTTTAAACTAATAAATCCCATGGGATCCAGCTGTACTTGAAAGATTTGTCATTGTACAAATTGGTTTTAACGTATATAGCTTTCATGAATTTAAGGCTCTGGAAGAGATTATGGGGTGGAAATAATCCCAAACACTTCTACAACTTCTGCCAGGTATGTAGTTCTGATGTTTGTCGCAAGAAAACAGAGTCCAGGGAGTCATTGGTGGGACTCATGCAGTTTTAGAGTACTGATAAAGCATTGTAACATGCTGTTGTAATATGTGACTGACGCATTTGCTCTTAACGTCTTTGCAGCTTACCTTAGACATATGACTTCACTCCCTGAATGTTTTCTTTCCAAAGCAGGTTTCTACAAGTAAAGCCAATGGCACATCACAGAGACAGACCCTTAAGATGATACAGCCGTCTATTACAGGTTGCCTTGTTGGCAGGGCAAATGAGGTATGTATTGCTGCTGGAACACAATGGGTGCGCTTGCATGTCATGAAAGCAACCTTGTGTGGTGTTCATGGTTTTATGTTACTATGTTCTGACAGAAACCACAGTAATGTAAAAACCACTTCATTGTCTGTCTTCCCCTCTTAAACCTCCCACTGTTGAGGTGTATCTCATGAACTACCGCACTTGTAGTTCAGTCACAAGGGGCTTCGCTCCAGTTCCGTCTTTATTTTATTTAAAACTTTTGTAGACCGTCCCATTACTGAAGTCTTGAGATAGTTTAACAATACAAAATGTAAAACACACACACAGCGTCCTAAAATTTAACTAATAATAAACCCCAGTTAAAACAGTCAGGTCTAAAAACATTGGGAAAATAAAAAGGTTTTGGCCTGGTGCCAAAAAGAATAAAGTGACGGCGCCAGGCAAACCTCTCTGGGGAGCAGATTCCGCAAGTGGGGTGCCACTTCAGAGAAGGCCCTTCTCCGGGTAGTCGCCCTCCTAATCTCCTTCAGTGAGGGTACCTGGAGAAGGGTGTCTGCCCCAGATCTTAAGGGGCAGGCAAGCACATATGGAAGGCGATGCTTCTTCAGGTAACCAATTTTCCCTATCCCAAACTCTCAATGAGAAATATGCTTTGTTGTAGAAGAGTATCTTTATTTTGGCAGCATAAGAATGATTGTTTGCTTAAAGATTTCTTCATATATAAACCACAAGTTATCTCAGGAATACCTGTTTGCACATCTTCTGGTGTGCAAACTGTTTAACCCGAAATCTGTGCCCATAATCCAATTGTCTGCCCCAGTATAGCATTCTTCTCCATGCTAGTGTGTATTGAAATAATCATTCTAAAAGTATTTGGGTAACAAAAGGCATGACAATTCATACTGGTATCTGTGAAAACCTCAGCCTGCTGATAGAGTAGTTATGCAGTAATACAGAGACTAGCCAGTTCTAAGTCTGCTCTTTTGGGCAGTATTGTCCACCTGCAGAAAATGACTTCTAGATGTCAACAAAAGGTGGAGGAGATGGGAACAGAAAGCTGTCTGTATAAGCGTGGCAAGCAGCAATTCATCTGTTACTAGGCAATAATGGGTAGTGGAGGCTGAATGACTGAAGGAGCTGTGTGATAACAGAATCCCAGGACCATGGAAAGCATGATCCTGGGTTCAGACATTATGAGAAACCATTGTAGTAAGCAGAAACCATAGAGCAAACTTTGTTTCTTATCATTTTTTTTAAGACCAAATATACTAAAACTGGGTTCAGATGACATGCCAAATAGTGGTTAAAAAATCAAAATGGATTGTCCTGTTTTAATCCAGTTACTCTAAGGCACTGTCTTTTGCATGTATAGACAGAAAAAGGTCCTACACTCATGGCATGTATCAGCCATACTGTCAGGAACACTGGGAATTTGTAGGACTAATTTCAATCTAAATAAGAATAGAATAAGCCTTTAGTTTCCCCAAAATTTTACTAAGATAACTGATTTAATCAGCTTAACTGATTAAGCTGTAGTTTGCCTGTTAATTGTAACTATTAAATGTAAAATTAGATTGTTAGTTTGTGCAGTAAACTTAAGTAGTCTCTGTAAACCTAAGTAGACCATTGAGATTGAAAGTAAAATTGAGGGTGCATCTGAAGAGAAATTTTCAGTCGTTTGTGCTGTTACGATGCTACTGTTATAAGTAGTGCTTTAAGTTTGTCTTATATAAGAATGGCTTCTCAAGCAAGATCTGCTACAGACTTCTCAACTGTTAAAACTTACAGCAGACCAAATCATCAATCAAAAGGAAACTTTGGAGTGATCAGCTTATTTCAAAATCTTCCAAATCTGAAGCTTCTGTTGAAACAGAATACAGAAATATAAGAGGATCTATTCAAGCCTCCGATCTTACTTCAAAAGGTTTGTGCCTTCTTTAAAAAAAAAGCTTCCAATCTAATTAAGAACATTTTAGTACTGGCCTTGAAAATTAGTTATAAAAAGAATAAACCAATATCTTGGTGAATCATAAGGAAAGCCCTTCCAAAATGCCTCTCCCACCGTGGCCAAGATGATAGACCTGAGAAACCACCAGTCGTTCTTTCCCTACAGCAGTTTCCCGGAAGTTGGTGTTTAGAAGCATGCAACTTCTGAATACTGAAGTTGGAGTATTGCCACCATGGCTGTGAGCCATTGATCACTTTATCCTTTAGAATATCTCTAATCTATAATCAATATGTTACCATATCTGAAAAATAATTGAGAAATCAAGGCATGTGTTATGAACATTAAGCAGAAGATCCCCTGCTTCCATTCCTGCCCTCCACTACTTTCTCTGTGTGGTCTCTCTTGCCAGCAGGAGTGTACATGTGTAAATCGCATAGCTGTGTAAACACTTTTTACATAGTTGTTAATGTGCACTCCTGTGCACACAGTGGCCTGAGTCTGTCTGCATATATTCTGAAAATGGGTGGAAGAGGGAAGGAAATTCTCCCAGTTTACTTTCTCTGCCAGATTAGTTACATTTTTCCCTGCCCTCCATCTCTGAACATGTGTGTCTGTGTGTGAGAAATATCTTATTGCTTTCTGTTCATTTGACCAAATTATTGCAATAGTTAGCAGGCAAAATATAGAAAGTACTTCATTGCTTTCAGTACTGTTCAGCACTAAGTGGCTGGTGTAACTAAAGGCTAGAGAGCAACACATAAAGGAAACAAATACTGTAATTTTTCCATTCTGATAGAATTAATTTGGGCAAAACCAAACATCAGATCTTTGTCGCAGTTAGATCAGTGAAAACAACTACTGGATATAGCAGCTATACATATAAAATCCTTGGTGTCCTTAGTAACTTGGTGATGGCATTAGTTGGAACACCATTCCTGTAAAGGCCCTTCTGAGGCACTTATAAATTGGAATGCAGGTAAACTTAAACCAGTAAGCATTTCTAAAATGCAAATTCAAAGTTATTGTTAGATGGTGAGTTATTGTCACATCCTACTTAACCCTATAGTTTTTAGCCTTGAAAGAGGGGGTTTTGAAAGTGGTTATTGAAGATATAATTCTCAAGGGTGAGCAGTGTAATGGCCAGTGACCACCTTTCTACCCTTCTACATTGGCTGGCCAGATGCTCCTCGTCCCGTCAGCAGTTTTACTGAGCTACTTGTACGGAGTGCAGTGCTGCCTCTGATGGAAACTTATTTACTCTTATGAATTAGAAAATAAGAAAACTACAGAAATAAGTGAGTCCACAAGGATGAAGAGAAGTAGATGGAACAACTGAAGTTGCAGTTATTTGGCTGTTAGTCTCATCAGCCTAAGGAGAGGTTGGCATCTCAGCTCTGACCTCAGAAATGTACTGTTAGGTTAGAGGTAGGATTCAAACCTCGGAGTGCCCTCTCTGCCCTTGCAGTCAGCTAGCACAGTACTTTATTTGCTGGCTGCCATTCCACAGTTGGAAGACCCACCCTGAAGCCAGAGGCTTGTGGGCATACCAGTGGAAGCAGAGGAGTAAGGCTTTTCCATGACATGTCATCTCTACCTCTTGTGCTCTGGGGAACAATACTTAGCTGAAATTGGCTGTCTAAATCTTGCATGTCAGGAGGACCAGGAAGGTGACCTTCATCTCCATGCTCCTTCCAGCTCTATTTGGATGTCTGTAATCCTTCAAGCTGAGAAGGGTACAGGTAACCACACTGGATTGTGTTACCTGTTACTCATGTTTTAGGCTTTTAAGTTTTTATGGTATTTAATCTTTGAGTTTCTTGTCCATCTGAGCACTGTGCTAGCAGTAGAAAAGTGAGATACAGTTTTTAATATAAATCATGGAATATGACTTGGGTCAAACATTGAGGAACTGAATCCCACATATAAAACATTGACTTAATATCAATTGTCCTTGCAGGCAATCCTTCACCCCGATATTGGAAGGAACTAGCTGAGGAGAGGAGGAAAGCTCTGTATGAAGTATTGCAGGAAAATGAAAAGGTACTTTTAGTATAAGCAGAATCATAACTGTGTTTGAACGCTTTTTCTGACTAAAATGTGTCTGCTTTTTCCAGCTGCATAAAGAAATTGAATTAAAAGATGGTGAGATTGCACGCCTGAAAGAAGAGAATGGAGAGCTTGTAGAGCTAGCCAGCCATGTGCAGTACATGGCAAACATGATTGAGGTAAACAAATTATGGCAGTAAAGCATTTTGTTAGACTGTCTAATCTTGCACAATAGATACTTTCTGCATGGTATACTTGAGGATTAAATGGTAATTGAATGGAAGAACTGCTTTTGAGTCCCCTGCTGACAAGTCCAGACAGAATATATTTGCTTGTGCAGCTGGATAATAAGGAATGTGAAGGGAAGGACCCAACTGTATACTGGTTTTTAGCTTTCTGGTGAAGTCTAAAGAAAGGGCAGGTTGGTGCGTGCTGAGAGAAGGATTCCTGGTTTCTGCTGCCCTTTTTTACATCAAAGATGGGTGAAAAACCTTGGCAAGAAAAGGATTTGGTTATTCACAAACTGCTGCTTTGGAAAAATCGGAACAGGTTGATGGACTTGGGGGCCAGTTTTGGTCTTCAGGTTGCCAGTCAGTGGCCTTCTCGACATTGAAGGATATTTAATGAGCATTAATGCCATAGAGTGGCATCTTAAAGTAGTAAGCTTCTAGTTCAAGTGTGCAAAGCATTTCCCCCACATTATACTTCTACATAAGGAACAGTATAACTTGTGTTGGGTATTCCTGTTGGAAGCAGAATACCAAATCTGGATCCTGTCATGTTTTTCATTTTAATAAAGGAGTCAGTTTATAGGTTAAATTTATTTCAGCCTGTAGATCTAATATTAGCAGGTAATATACCGAGAAGTGGTAAGGTCTCTGTCCTTTCACATGTCTGAAATCTTCTGCTCTTAAATGTATCTGTGCTATGATACTTCCAGTCTTGCTCCAAAACTGTTCTGAGTCATCACTAGCTAAACTATCAACTAGTGCTAGAGAAGACATCCACAAATAGCACTGCTGAGTTCTCTGTAGGCTTAACTTGAACAAGACAATGAAATACCTGCTGACTGTGACTATTAGAGCTGGTGGTACTAGTCTGTGCCATGAGAATGAACTGTGAGTTTGCCTCATTCAAATCTTGCCTCTGCACTGCCCTCCCACAACCTACAGTGTGCTCAGAGTGCTGTCTTACATGCTGGTAAAGACTACTGGGAGAATACATTAAATGCTTTTGAGAAATTATGTAAGATAATGCAATCTGATCAGCTGAGCTGAAACACTATTGCTTAAGTTGAATTATTACTGTATAAAGTAGTAATGAGTGATGGAAAGCTAAGCCTTGTCACTGTTCTAACAGTATCACTACTTTCTTACATTTCTCTAGCGACTAACTGGACAAGCACCAGAAAGCCTAGAGATGCTGAAAAACTTAGACCTGGAGGAAATTGCCTATGCAGAAAGTGTTTCTACAGGGGATAATTTGGATGGTGAATCTGAAGGCGAATATTTACAACTTTCCAGTAATTCTACAGAGGATGCTGCAGATGGTGATGCTTGTCAGTGAAAGTGTTGGGCTTGTAAAAGGGAGATGAACTGCCAGGAAGCATAGTTTGGAATGGGGGAAGAGTGGAATTATCTGAACTAAAGATGCACTTAAGATTTGAAGACAAGTTTTGGTTAGTAATGTGTAGCAGAGCAAGTAACTATCTTGTCTAAAGTTTTAGACTGCATCGGGTCACTCCATCAAATGGAAATACTATGTATTTCAGTTTGTAAATAGTTTTTATTCATATGGTATATTCATGTGCCAAATAAACTTACTTGCATAATTGTGGCATGGTTTTCAAATATTATACTGTAGAATTATTTCTTTCAACTCAGCATCTGTCAGTGAAGAGATACTAGTGCTATGAAGGAAATCTGGTCAGTCAGATCTTAAATTGACAGACTTGGTAACAAACCATTCTCATTTTTGTGCTTATCCCGGTGAAGGAGAATCCACAAAGAAGTGATCCTTGAGAAATATGGGTGACTAAACTCAAATAGCCACCTTTAGATGCAGCTAGGGCTCAAAGAGCCTAATCCGCAATTTTGTTTATTAGATATCCCACTTTTTCATATAACATACTCAAAGCAGTTTACATAATTCTCCTGCTCTTGATCTTCTCCCCACAACAACAACCCTGTGCAGTAGATTAGGCTGAGAGTCTGGCTGTCCCAAAGTCACCCACCTGGCTCCATGGCTTAGTGGGGACTAGAACCCAGATTGCCCGAGTCCCAGTCCATTATACCACACTAATAAGATTGGCAGTTAGTCTGGATATAGCATTCTAAGAATGCAGATGGTGTAGACTTGGAATGTATTCTAGTAAAATTGATGCAGTTGTCTTTCATCTCACAGGTAAGTTCTTTGCATCAGCTGGAGTAAATTGCAAGGTGATCTTTCTGTACCTGGCTTTAAGATAGCAGTTACGATAGGTACGTTAATAGGGTGTTGGGGTTTTAACTTCACCATGTTGGAGTAGGTGGTAACAATAGGCATTCAACTAGGTAAATGTCAGGAAATTGTGTTTGCACACTGCAATATTTGCTTTGATTTGTTCAGTGGGGAGAACAGGAACTATTTTGTGCACAAATAGCAAAACACACAAAAGCTGGCCATTGATTTTGTGCAAGGAAAATGTTCCTGGCTGACTGCTTCCTCAGCTAACAGCAGTGCCCCTTAATCTGGTCTTGGTGAACCTGACAAATGGAAGAACCATTCCCACCTATCCTTGACACCAGTAGTTCTTGGCATGAGGCCAGTTGGTCTGGGGTTCTTTATCACTCACTTGTAGATGCTCATGCTCTCAGTTGTGTCTCGGCTTCTCATATGGGAACGTGGATCTGCTCTGCATTCTCAAGGGTCGGAGCTGTTTGTGTAGCACTTTCCATCTGGTGGGGCTCTTTCTGAACTTAGGCAGTAGTCTTTTGCCAACTGAATAGCAAGCATGAATTAGTGCTGGAAGCATGGGAGAAAATAGGTTTTATGGCATAATGGGGAAGCTTTCTCCGTCTTCTGAGAGCTAATAATCCTTGTTCAGAATTCTGCAAGGATCTATGAGAAATTGTGCTGTTCTAGAAGCTGATGCCCCAGTAGGTGTCACTGCTCATTAAGCCCCAGCAGCTGTTGGAAAGGAGAGCCCAAATGAAGATGAGTGGATGAACAGCAGAAAGAGAGAGGTATAAAACTAGAGAGCGCTGGAGTGCTGCGCAAAAGTGAGAATGGATGGTGTGAGAGGAACAGTAGGAAGAGAGATTGTGTTAAACAGTAGGTCTGCCTACTTTGGACTTTTGTCCTAGTAACCAGGGGCATGTAGAACAGAGTCCCATGGAGGCAGTGTCATCGGTGAGTTGAAAAAAGTTCTTTGGCCCAGTTCTGTGGCTACCCCAATGCAGGAGTGTTCATAACAGCAGCAGAAGATTGGCATGCGTATAATTGTCTCGGGGTTTGCATTGATTTCTATATGTAAGTGTCTTTGGGAGGAATGATTTTGGAACAAGAAATGATTGGCTTGTGGAAGCTATATTTCTAAGAGTTACCTATGGCTTAGGATGGATTTAAAAAAGTAAAACATGTTAAAGATCTTCTGTAATGTTTCCATTCAAATAGTTTTCCATAAGAATCCAAGCTGTGCGTGGCAGATAATGAACATGAAATAGATTCTGATTGTGCAAATCACAGGTTGTCTCTCCAGTTTGACAAGAAAATACAGCTTCATCTTCAATATTTTTAAACTATTATATCATGTTTTTACTAGACAGTTTCAGTAGCCTTCCATTAGGTCTACAGCCACTTAGTTTTAGTAGTGCTATCCCATTAGGTTTTACCGGACCATTAAGTGAAGACACGTTTAATTATGTTTTGAAGGCTACTAAAAGAATATTTCACACACAGCTCAAGAAAGCAGAATGTAACAGTGTATTTGATAGTAAATGCCAAAATCATAGGATTACAAGTCAGTTTAGCATTTGGACTCAGAAAAGGTCCTATTCACACCACAAGCCTTGGAAAACAGATTTTTAGTAAGGTAGTATATATGTAATATATTGGCAATTTAATGTCCATTTCTGGATATTTATTTGTCTGCTTGCACATTTGAATATCCCATTAGCATAAACATTAACTTGGCATAGTTTTGTGGCCAGCCAAACCAGTCCATATTAGAGAGGGAGTCCAGCTTTTTTTCTAGCATTTGGCCACCTACCTCATGAAATAACTTAATACAGGGAGTGTTGTTACAGCAGACAACAGTCATAAGGTAACACACCCAGAACTTCACTGTAATTAAATCTGAATCAGCTTCTGGTGAATCTTCATCTTCATCCAGATAGGAAATGAGAATTTCAGTTAGGTGGTTTTCTTTGGCTTCATTTTGGTTTGTATAGCTTAAATAGCATACACCGCATAGCCCTTTTAAGACAGCAATCCTTACTTTCCCAGAAGTATCTGGCATGATCAAAATATCAATCATGTCCTTAATATATTGTGAGACAAGCTCAGCAGCACTGATACCACCTGTAAAGGAAGACATTCACCTTAATTGTTGTAAAGCACCTGAGGAGCTTTAGCTATAGAGAATCATAGAAATGAAATTAATTACAACCACTGAGCCAGATTAGCAATAGGCAGTAAATGTTAAGCACTAATACAGGAATCTTTCATCTTAAGAACTGAATTCCCTTTCTGAGAAGTGTTCTTGTGGTGGTTTGAGCCAAGGGCAAAGAATAAGGTTAAAAAAACCCCTCCCTATCATCTTGTTGTTGTAAACTCTTAATACCAGTAGACATTTCGGGCTTCTAGAATAGGAGGAAAAGCTGGGAAAATATCAAGCAATTGATGAGTGGTTGGAAAAAAGGGTGGGGGTGAGGGGCAAGGGAACATGTCATCTGGAGATATCTAGAAGGTTGGATTTTGGGATCCTAGTGGAGCTGACAGCCCTTAGGCTTAGTACTGCACTAGTAAATAGGAATACTTTAGTATGCTTGTCCACTGGTGCTTTAATGGTTCCTTAATATAAGGAAGTTAGCTTCATTTGGAACCATCTATCTAAAGGTTCTTTACTATTACTGCATTTTTTCTGTACTTGCTGCCCCCCACACCTCATTAATGGATGACTATTGCATTGTTTAACTATTTCACAAAATGTATTATGTAATGCACTTTCTAGGCATAGAAAGAATACTGTAGAGACTGAAGTGTGTGAGAGAGAACTGGGGAAAACAAGGAAGTTTCCTTGCATGAGCAGGAATAGTTTGGTTATGCAAATTGCCCTTGGTCCCAAGCCAGTATCTTTAAATTTCAACAGGAATGATATGGTCAACATATGGTCAACAAGTTGGTTTTCTTTACCATTTTGTTCTGGAATTTTGTTCCTGTCAGGTGAAAAAAATCCACTTTTTTGTGTAGGTGAATTAGTTCTCTAAAATTGTGAAAGCCTTATCTTCAAAATGGGAACCAATGTATGGAAGAGCTAGCCCAACAATATCCATCTGCCAGATGGGTGGAGATGGGACATGTGATGTGACTTTGGCAAAACTGGGAAAAAGGAGTTTTATCTGCAGAAATGCAGATCTCTTGAGTAATCTTACATGGAACAGAGTCTGAATCTGCCTGTTTGATCTGGGTGGATAGGCTAGTATCAGGCACCAGCCATAATAACCAATGCCTCAAAATGGGCCTTAGCAAGGTTAAGGGAAGTTTGTTCAATCATGTTGCTGTGATAGACTTTAGATAGCATGATGGGACTCAGGCTTTGAAAATACAAAATAGAAACTGAGAATGGTTGCATTCATCTCAGGTCTACTGTTGTGTTTCAGCCTGTCTTTTTGATGACATACCTGTATAGGCCAGCAGTCCGATATATAGTGCAGCTAAAGCTCTCTTCTCCAGGGGCAGTTCTGCATTTCTCAGATCAATGGCGTAAGTTTTGATTTTATGGTGGTGAAAGATGGGGTCTATAAGCTTGATTGCTGGTTCCCTAGTATCCTGTATATTCTTCTCATACCAGCCTTGTACCTTGCTTATTGTGCTCCCCATATTGTCTGAAATGTTCCACAAAGAATCTTGTATTTCTTTAAAAAAAAACCTATTTCCCAAGGTGAGATAGGGGACTGTTGGAAAGCCAAAGTACTGATTTGTAGTGCTTCATGTACCTGGTAACTGACATGACTCATTCAAAAGCATCCTAAGCTGGTAACTAGGCAATGAATGGGGTAAATAGAATGCAAAATGGAAAGTAGCATCAGCTCTTGCTGATGTCATAAATAGATGCACGCTTACCCTATCTCAGATTCATATTTAGAATACTACTTTTTAAAAAATGGTAAAATGAATCCTTTCCCGTTGGTTTGATATTTTGTAAAGAAAGAGAGGCTTCTTTCCTCCTACAACCAGCCATGATCATTAATTCATCTTTTTATCTCACCATTTTTAAATACAAAACTATCTTCGCCTATGGAGGCTGATAAATACAAACATCGCACATCTCTACTTTCAGTCTCTGTCTCTAAAATAGAGTCCTTCCTCTTTCCATATAGCTCTTTTTAATTTTTTAAAATTCTTTAAGATACAAATATCTTAATTCTTTAAGATGCAAATACAAAAATCATACAATAACACTCAATACACAAAATCAAGTTTAAAAAAAAAAGAAATCAGCCTACATTCCTCCTCCATGGCTGCCTAGTATTTTTTTTCCATTTTCCATTCTTTCCCAGATACCCCCTTCCATTCAAAATTGCAATAGATCCTTTGAGGGTTTATTAGCCTCCCATTTCATTAATATTCAATAAACATATTATTAAAATCATTCTTTACCAATACTTTTTTCACCTTTACCTCACACGTCACCTTGTCACTAACTGCCATATTCCAAACATCTTTATACCATTCAATTAATTAGCGATTCCCTTTCTCCTTCCAATACTTTGCTTTTAACAATTTTGCTGTGCATACCAAATTTTTTGATATTTCATTTCACAAAAAATTACCAGCAATGCTATTTCAGGATCTAGTTCAATTTTTAAATTCAATATCTTACTAATCTTAAAAATCATGATCCAGAATTTTCTAATGCTTTCACATTCCCACCACATGGAAATAGGAACCCATATTCCATCCACATCTCCAACATAAATTAGAATATTTATTAATTTAACTGAGGACACATACTATTTTCATAGTAATTTATTAAAAATTCCTTAATTTTAATTGACATTAAAATTAATTTTAATATTTTCTTATCCCATATTTTTCTAAAATCATCCTTGTCTTTCTTAGAGCTATATGGATATAGACATTTTCAGAACCAACTTTGGCAGCCACTTAGGTTCTTCATCGTGGCCTCTGTGCATCACACATATGGGTGCTGCGCCTGTGCAGTGCCTTTGGCCGGAAGATTACAAGCTAACAGTTTATTTTGGCGGGAAAAAAGCTCCGCTCTCCCTCCCCCACAGCCTATAAAGAGCGGAGCGTCCGCCATTTTGTTCAGTCTTTGCGACCGCCGTTCACTGTGCCTTGTGCTGCTTTCGACTATCGCTTTGATCGTTACTCGTAGCCTGTTTTTTACTCCCAGTTTTATATCCCTGATAGTTCTTGTTAGCTCTAGTTATTTCTACAGTTCTTCTTAGCTCTAGTTATTCTGCAGTTCTACCATTCCATTTTCTTCTTCTAAAAAAAAACAAAACAAAAAACCAAAAATATATTCTAACTCTCTGCACTGTCTCCCTTTTTCTTCTTCTTCTTGCGATGGCGCAGTGAGCGGCCTTCCGCAAATGTGCAGAGTGCGAGTCGAAGATGTCACCATCTGACCCGCACGACCTATGCCTCCTCTGCTTGGGGGAGGGGCATAGGACCGATAGGTGCTCCCACTGTCTGGCCTTCTCCAAGCAGGCCAGAAAAAATCTGGAGAACCGCCTCCGGAGGCTCCTGTGGGATCGGGCTCTTATGCAGTCAGACCCACTGGTCGCCGCTCCAAAGCCTGGCCCGGCTGCGGTGGTCCCGCGCCCCCCCGCCCGTCAGACGAAGGTGCCTCTACTTTGAGGGCCCCACCAGCTTCTCCCAGAAAGAAAAGCGAGAAGTGCAAGCACGCCGATGCTGACAAATCGGCCAAAAAGGCCAGGAAAGAGAAGCCCTCTAAGCCGGCCCGAAAGGCGAAGGATCTGGACTGACACCGTGTCTCGGGTTCGACAGCAGCGTCGGTACCTGCGCCAACCACTGTACCGATCCCACCCGAGCCGGCGCTCCAGGCAGCCATGAGGGTTACCCCTTAAGGGTCTCCCCGTCGTGTGGCTGACCCTCCGATCGAACCGCTTCCATCTCTCCAGCGGGGCTCGATCTCTGACAGACAGATTCAGGACTCTCCCCACAGGGCTAGGTCACCAAGGCCTATGCCCATGGCCACACTGGAGGTGGATGTCATTGAATCCCCGCCTAGGGCCTGCCGGAACCGCTTCAGGGAGCAGCGATCCGAGCAGCGATCCGAGCGATTCGAGGACTGGCGTCGCTCCTACTACCCAGCTTGGGGCGAGCCATACTCGACTGGGTACTATCCTGCACTGAGGGATCGGTCCCCACCACGCTCTCGTGATCGCCCGCTGCCTCTGGATCCAAGGCGCACGTCCCCGGTACCCCGGGATGAAAGCAGCTGGTCCACTTCGCCAGTGGAGTCGTCTTCTTCGGCTCCTCCATACTATGGCGCGGACTCCGATGACTCGGACGTCGATTCTACCTCTCCCGACGTTGCGGTGACCTCCCAGGGCCCTGCATCACCGGACGAGTCGCATGTTTCTTTTGCGGAGCTGATGTCCAGGCTCGTCCAATCCCTGGACATCGACGCTGTCCAGTGGCCAGGACCGTCTACAGATAAAATCTATGACATCATCCGGGGGGAGCAGTCCACCTCCATCGTCCTGCCCTTGATCACCACCCTACGGCAGGCGATGACCCAGCCCTGGGACTTGCCCTCTCACCCTCAACCAACATCATGGAGGTACGAAGCCATGTACCGGGTTCGGGAGGAGGACATACCATTCATCCTCCAACACCCCAAGCCAAACTCGGTCGTGGTGGAGTCCTCCCAGGGAAGAGAGGAAAGGGGTCGCACCGTGCCGCGAGATAAGGAGGGCCGCAAGATTGACTCCCTGGCCAGGGGGGTCTACGCAGCTTCAGGCTTGGGGCTGCGTATCTCAAACTATGAGGCGACATTGGCAAGATACCAGTATTTTATAATGCAACGCCTCCACAACGTTGTCTCAGCCCTCCCAGACCAACAAGGTGAATTGGCCAAAGTCTTGATTAAGGAGGCGATGCACATCGCGGTGCAAGTTGTCCACAGCCAGGCACCATGTGGACACTAACTCGAGGGCATTGGTCGGTGCCGTTTCTCTTCGCAGGCATGCGTGGCTGAGGAGCGCCAACTTCCCTGAAGAGATCAAGCGGCGCATCGAGGAAATGCCCTTCGACTGGTCTGGGCTTTTCCATTCAAAGACGGACCATAAACTTAAAAAACTTCATGAGTCCCGCATGATGGCCTGACGAATGGAGCTCCAGTCGCTTCCGAGGCGTAAGTGGCCATGGAACCGTCCGTCCTACAGACAGCCGTATCATCCCAGGCAACAGCCTCAGCACAGGCAACAGCAGCGGCGCCATCGACAACAGCCCCAGCAATGCTACCAGCAGGGCCATCGCCGATATGATGGCAGGAGGCAGCGTTGACGGGACTGGCGAACCATTCCTCTACCCTATCCTATACCTATCCCCCTCTCATCTGGGGACCGGCTGCGAAGCCGACTCCCCATTTAGGAGTCCATCACATCTGATGGATGGGTATTATCTATCATACAGCATGGCTATAGGATAGAATTTGACACCGTTCCTCCATCGAGTCCGATTCGGTTTACATCTTGCATACCAGTACTGCTCGATGAAATACAACAATTTCTTCTTAAAGGAGCAATTCGTCAAGTAACTCAATATGACAGGCATCACGGATTCTATTCTAGATACTTTACCGTTCCCAAACAGGACGGTGGCCTACGTCCGATTTTGGACTTACGTGGTCTGAATCGATTCATCGTGATGACGAAGTTTCAAATGACCACCCTCCAAAATATTTTGCCGCTGCTTAGGAAAGAGGACTGGTTCGCCTCATTGGACTTGAAGGACACCTATTTTCATATTGCAATCCATCCCAAATATAGACGTTTCCTTCGTTTTGCTGTTGCCCCCAATTTCTACGAGTTCATGGTTCTACCTTTCGGTTTGGCTACCGCTCCAAGGGTGTTTACTAAATGCATGGCCCCTGTCTGTGCTTATCTACGCTTCCAGGGCATACAAGTTAATCCTTACCTCGACGACTGGCTCCTAGTCTCCAGGTCCGGGGAAGCACTCCTCACTTCTGTCCGTATTACCTGTGCCTTATTGGACGACCTGGGCCTTTGCATTAATACTGAGAAATCTTCTCTCCTTCCGGTACAGAAGCTTATGTTCATCGGAGCCCACTTGGATTCGACATTGGAAAAGGCGTTCCTCCCTCGGGACAGACAGCTGACTCTCGCTTGCCATGTTCATCGAATGCGACGAGACAGATCGGTTCCGGCGAAGTCCATCCAGAGACTTCTAGGACATATGGCTTCCGCCGTTGCAGTGGTGCCACACGCCAGACTGCGACTTTGTCCGTTGCAGCTGTTTTTCAACAAAGTGTTCCACCCACAGAGGGATCCACCGTCGAAACTCTGAGTCCCATCCTCGGTCCTCCATTCGCTAATATGGTGGTCGAACCCAACCAATCTGACTGTTGGGGTCCCCTTCAGGTCCCGAGGCCCATCAATTACAGTCAGTACCGATGCGTCTCTTCTAGGTCGGGGAGCGATGTGCTCTGGCCTGTATACTCAAGGCACGTGGACTCGTCAAGAATCCATGAAGCATATCAACTTCCTGGAATTGTTGGCCGTGTTCAAAGCCCTACGCTCTTTCGAAGATGTTCTTCAACATCGGGTTGTTCAGATAACATCGGACAACATAGCCACCGTTTTTTATCTGAACAAGCAAGGCGGGACGAAGTCTCCAACCCTGGCCAGACTTTCTATGCAGATCTGGGAATGGTGCATTTCGAGAGGTATTACGGTAATAGCAGTCCATCTGGCCGGTACGGACAACGTGGAAGCAGATCTTCTCAGCAGGCGCATGCTCATCTCTCACAAATGGGAACTGGACCCTCAGACACGCGACGACCTTTTCCATCGCTGGGGGTTCCCCGACGTGGACTTGTTCGCCACACAACAGAACAAGGTGTGTGCGACTTTCTGCTCGAGAGCGGGAATCAGACCCGAATACCTAGGGGACACCTTCATGATTCCATGGAACAATCTGAATTTCTACGCCTTCCCACCGATTCCGCTGGTGATGAGAGTCATAGCAAAGATTGTTTGCGATCGCGCCACAGGAATACTTACGAGAGCTCCTTTCGAACCGGTGGCCAGAGTCGATTTACATCTTGTCTCATGGAACACAGCATTCCTAGTTGTGGTTACCTCAGCCCGGAGGGCCAGTGAACTCTGCGCTTTGCGCATAGACCCACCTTATCTCAATTTTCATAGAGAAAAGGTTGTCCTGCGGCTCGATCCATCTTTTCTGCCTAAGGTATCCACACCCTTTCACATGGGGCAAGATATTATTTTACCTGCCTTTTTTCCGGCTCCGTCTACTCTGTTAGAAAGGACATTACATTAACTTGACGTTCGACGCTGTTTAGCATTCTACAGATCCAGGACTGAGTCTATCCGACGTTCACATAGACTTTTCATTAAATATGCTACCAGGGGCCAAGGTACCCCTGTCACTCCGCAGAGACTTTCTAAGTGGATAGTTCATACCATCACCCTGTCTTACCAACTGGCCAATATCGACTTGCCCACTACCCCTCGAGGCCATTCGACTAGGGCTGTGGCTACCTCATCGGCCTTCGCATCGGGAATACTGATGGATGATGTATGTAGAGCTGCTACTTGGGCGAATCCTTGCACTTTCGCCAAACATTACCGCTTAGACGTCCGTGCTCGACAAGATTGTTCCTTCGGCAGAGCCGTTCTTTCATCTGTTCTTCGTTGAGGACACCTTCCCTCCTCCATTATGGTAAGCTTGTTA